CGGTTCATTATTGAACATTGAACTCTCCCAGCACTCGTGGGTCGCTTGAACCGACCGTGAACCAAAATAATGCTACTCGGGTATAATTTCTTGTTTTTTCTTCATTAAATATAATTTGTTAACTATCTAGTTAAAGTGAGTCCCAAAGGTATTTATAATACATATGTGTTTATAGCTTGAAACCATCTGAAGTTACTAAAAAATTGTAATTCAATTGTTATTATTTAAAATTTATTTTGTTATGTGGTCATTATGTCTATTCCTACAGTAGTAGATGTACCTGTACATATATTTTATTTTATGTTTGTTACCCCCGCCTCTTAATTGATAAGTGAAATAGCAATTCAGCTCAGCCCAAGAAAGTCAGATAAGACAATTTGTAGTACTTTTGAAACTTTTTGTAATTGTAAGTCCAGCTGGGACTTCCAAGGGGGAGTATGTTCAAGCACACGCCAAAGATACCGTCAGTTGATACTAGTGTAGCTACCCTGGTAACGGGTAGTTATGTTGTGGCGTTATCAGTTCAGATAACGTCCCGCAATTATTGCTCATGTATAACGTATTAGTGATGGGAATTTCGGGTCGATCGAACGATCCGGATCGTTTGGATCGGATCGTTCAAATGACCCGTTCATATAACTCGTTCTTTCGTTTATGTCTTACGATCGGTCACGGTTCTTATCAATTACTCCTTACTATGGTTTTTCTGAACGAGTCGTTCAAATTCGAATTTTCACCATGTAACATTACCGTGATATCAGAATTTTTACTGATAATACACTTGTATAATCAGGTTATATATTAATTTTTCAAATACAAATTACTTGAAATAACATAATATGCTGTTATACACGAATATTTTTGTATAGAATAAAAACAAATAATTTATACTAGCGGATGAGTTGCAGTACATAAATCCATAGAATTTGTTTCTATAATAAGCGAAATCATTTAAATTATTTGTTTTCATAAAAGGAGTTTTATAGAGAAATTAATTCACCTAAATCAGATATTACAATTTACAGCAGCTATGACCAGATTATAAAAGAGTGAGGTGGTTTAATACNGCCAGATTATAGAAGAGTGAGGTGGTTTAATACCTCTCACAACAGCTATATTAGTCTAATAGTCAATTTTTGTCCTAGTTGCTAAATTCACTAATTCATAGACCTATTTTCGCTTATAAATAATTATATGAATGTAATATTTATGAAATAAATAGCTATATATTGATAATCAAAATTGTTCTTCAAATGAACAATATAGTAGGATACTTGAAATAATCCAACTGTATTAGACCTGCATGATTATGTTAGTAGAAACATGTCACAACTTTGAAAATTTAGTCTGCAGACTTACAATAAAAATGTTTTTATCACAAACCAAATAGTGTTGCTTTTAAACTCTCATTGGTAATATGTATTTTTTTATTTAATTTTTTAAGAAAACATTATAAGTATATACTTATAAAGACTATATTTTTCGTTTTTTTTTAAAATTTTTATATTATTAGAATATAAGGTTAGGCATAGGTTTTAACCGAAGTGCAGGTACACGTTCAGTAAATGAACGAATCATGAAACAGTGTGTCCGATATATTGCGTGAAACGAACGAACGTATGAACGAATGAACGATATCTATTTTTTTTGCGATCCGGATCAACTCGTTCACTGATATGACCCGTTCAAAAAGACCCGTTCGTTCGTGAACGACCCATCACTACTACGTATGTTGTAAACATTTCGTCGTTGTTGGTTCAGCTATGAACGTGTGAATAGTTTTTTTCGCTCCTAAAAAGCGTAAAAACTACATATTCACCCACATGCTGTTTGATTTTTTCTAATTAAAACAGCTCAGTTTGTGTCAAGGTTTTCTTGTAAGCCAGTTTAAGGGAACTCGCTTCTTCCTTCATCTATTGTACACTTTGCTAAAATCAACGTATGGTACACAGTAAAATGAATAAGAAGTATGCTCGATCAAATTAGTGCGCATGACATGCCTAGGGATAAAATATGCAACCAACAATATTAATTTTGTCCATATTTTTAAGATTTGAACCCCCCGTTTTAAGGGAAATGATCCGATTAAAAAAAAAATAAATCGAATGAAAAAGGGATATAAATATTATTATAGTATTTTAAAGTTTTTTATTTTTTTTATTTTATTAGCTTTCAATACAGAAGTATTATATTTTAAAGTTAAAAATGTAAAATATAAAATCGAGAATTTTAACACAAAAATAGGATACGGTAGCCAATTTCACCGTGAAGACAAAATAAAGTCCTAAATTTTTTTTTTTCATAATTAAGTATACTACATAAGCTTTAATGTAAGGTATATATAAAAGTGTCAGTATTTCTGGAACACATTAAAAAGTTAATTTTTTGTGAAAAAGTTGTCATTTTGAATCCCCCCCTGTGGGCCTGTAAAGTGTCAAATTTATAAAAAATATATGAAGAGTGAATGTGTCAAACGTTCTATGTGCCAAAAAAGTGAAAAATTGTTTTATTTCTGATTTATGTTCTATGTGCCAAAGGCCACAATCTTGTATGTGTTTCAAATGTCAATTAAATTTTTTACTTGTACAAAATTGCATTCATAGATGGTGTTCGATATGTGAGACATGCACATGTTACCATTGTTTTTTGTGTTTTCTGAACAAATATGTTTTAGGCACATAGAACTTTTGACACATTCACTCTTCATATATCAAATGATGGTAAGGACATGATGCATTTATTAAAAAAAAATTATATTGTTTTGTTCAATTTTGAAAAAGTTATGGCAGTTTTAAGAAAAAAAAATTGAAGAAATTTCGAAAATTAGTAATTTTTTTGGAGGTTTCCTCCATTTACGAGGAACAAGGAAATTTTTTTCAATTTTTGAGGGTAATGTCTTCGACTAGATACGATTTGTGATCTTTTGATGTATCCTTGAAAGAAATCCGTTCGATGAGAGCTGAGAATAGTGGTAATAGACAAAAAAAAAAAAAAAACACATAGTAAAAGCAATACCTTCTCAGCTTCGCATTGAAGCTAACAATTTAAAAATCTTATAATTACATAACCTTTACCATTTAACAAAAACATAAAATAATATTATCTTCCAAAAAGTAAATTATAATATACTTATATACTATGAAAATATTGCATGAGGCATAGTTAATTAACCATTTCATATTATATAGTTTATAATAGTATCTTATTTTCTCTTCTTAGTATAGTGTATAATATAAACTCTATTATACACTTTATCAATGGTTCGGCACACAGAGAGAACTTATAAATTACTTATTTACAACGATATTAGGATAGAGTTTAAATTTCTACAATTACTCCATATCTCAATTAAATATGATAAAAATATTAATTCGATCTTTTAAACTACTGTCTACAAAAAATTATGATTGTGATTAAATTTTAACATCAAGTAAAACTCACGTGTTTTCAATGTTAAAATATATTTATGAACAGTAAAAATATTTAAAGTTAAACAGTAACTATAAAATAATAGACATACTTATATATATTTATATTAAATAACATATAATATAGATGTTGTAAATCATTTCATTCGGCCTTAAAATTTATTAAAGAATTCTATGTTCATGATTTAAAGCTAATACTTTATAAACTACATTTAAGTCATCTGGTAATTTTGGTACGGTTACTCTGTATTCGAACTCTTCCTGAGGTTGCCTCAGCACTCGAATTTGTTGTGTAAAATGTTCTGGTCTAAACTCTGTCTGTCTTTGTTGAAATAACTGTTGCTGATCGAATGGAATTGATTGAATTTGTTGAGGCTGTAACCATTGTTGAAAATGTTTATATTGTTGCGATGGGATTATTTGTACATGAGAAAATTGGTTTTTGAGTGCATTTGGTTGAACAAATTGTTGCCTATATAATTCTATTTGGTTATTTTGAGGTTGAGAGAACTGATATTGAACAGTTTGCTGTTGATTAAATTGCAATTGATTTTGATCTGATTGAATCATCTGATTTTGAAAAGCCTGTTGTTGATTAGGTCGTAAAATGTGTTGCTCGAATTTTTGTGGTTGTATAATATTATTTTGAACTGATTGTGGTTGGATATGTTGCTGTTGTATAGATTGTTGAGTCGGACGAGGTTCAACAAATCGCGGTCTAGACTGCGCTTGTTGTTCTTGAAATTGTTGAAATGTTAGTTGTTGTTGATAATTTATATTTTGTGGTAAATTAACAGTAGGCAAAAGTAGTTTACCAGTCTGCTGATTATGTTGAAAAAAATTATTTGCTTCGTTATCTATACTATTTTCTTTTCCTCTCGCTTCTTTTTTGGTTTTAAGAAATTGAATATTCTGTCGTTCTAATTGTTCTAACTCTGTATAAATGGGTATAGCACTCCTAGGTATTCCATTGAAATCTTGTAATGTAAAAGCAGCCAACAAAGGTACTTGGAAAAAATCTATTTGAGATCCCGAAACATTAGTAGGTAATTTTTCGATAAATTTATTGTTATTAACTTTGGTATCATCGGGTTGAGCACTAGGAGGTGGTAACAAAGTAATAATTTCTTTTGAATTATTTGGTGCTATTGAAGATAAAAGAGAAGTAGAAACTGGTGTATTATTTAATGTTATTTGCTGTTGTTGATTTCCACTCTGTTCAATTCCCCCCACTTGTTTATCTTCTTCGTCGAGTCTTGTGAGAACTTTAAGAAGAGCTTTTCGCAACTTAGGATCCAATTTTGCTGAAGGCTTTTTAGCCAAATCGTTAATCGACAGTGGGTCAAGTGGAACATTGGAGTTTAAATGTTGTTGTTCAGCTACACATAATGTGACAGTTAATAATGCTATCATTGATACCTAAAAATGAAAATAAATTATTAAAAAATAAATAAAAATGAGTATTTTAAATGTGTTTTTTTAAATTCAGGTTATTTATAATACTTCATCAAATTATTATTATAATACAAGCATTTATACATTTTTTTCGAAGTGTCAAATTATGTTCGAACTTATTTACGTATTTTTTAATTTCCATGTCGCATACATAAAATGACACAGAAAAATAAACTGTTAAAACAATTTTGCATCGAAGTAAATTTTTTAACTAGTCATTTTAACATTTTTATAATTTAACTGATAATTTTAAATGCGGGTACATTAAAATAAATACAAATATTACTTTATTCAAATTATAAATCATATACTTCATTAGAAAAAAATACTACATTACAAAATTTGAATGCATAAGTCATTCTATATTAAGTAAAATTAAAACTATATTAAAAATATTATTAATTTAAAAAACTAAAAAATATTAAAAATATTAAACTCAAAGCCACAAAAAAATTAATGAAAAGTCGCGGATACGTATTTCGGAAACAATGTTACCATTATCAACGCTAAACACATACTATTTATTCTATATGTTTAATAGTCTATTTGCAAATGGTATTTATATTTGACTGCTCTTTTAAGTAATTTAGCCTTTGTATATAATTCCACAACACGATTATTTTACCAGTTTTGAAAAAAAACACGGGTGCTTAATACGTTTCTAATTCCATTTCATGATACATTGTTCTATATTATTACTACTAACATATCCCTTTTTATTGACGCTCTTCAAGTAGTCTGTCATTTTGATCATCCTTGAAGTTAATTCAAATATTTAGTACGCTCCCTAAACCAAATACGTTGAATAGTTAACTACCGTCTCTTGAGACTGTTAGAATGAATAAGTGATAAGTTCTATCCGATATAACTGGTCAAAAGCCCATCCAAAAAAAAAAATGTCCTGGTGTGAGAGACCTTCAGTCCGTTGGATCGGATGTTAAGGAATCAATAAGAAGTAAGTATTTCTATATATGTTAGATAAACAACGTCCAATCAAAGATATTCATAAGTTATTTATGTTATCATAAGCCCATTATATCATTAGTGATAATAGAATAAGAAAATGAATAATAATTAATTTCAATTAAAAGTAAAATTTTAAGACGTATTTTTATTTTTTATTTCAATACAAATCAATATTCTATGAGTTGAAAGACTCTGAACGGAGTTTCGCTTCATCATAACGCCTACTGGTTTTATTATTTTTGTTATTATACAATTGTTTTAATATAATAGTATTCGAATTAAATAAAACGTATGATCGATAGTTAGATTACTATAGTTATTTATTTATTCGTATGACATGCATAACACAATATTACAACATAACTAACGAGAGTATAGATAAAATGACAAAATAAAATTTCGTGTTAAAGAGAGTTTTGTTTTCTTCACAAGTCAATGTCCAATTTTTCTAACCAGGCCACTGCCTCCTGTATCACTGCAAGGAAGTCTTCAGGTATCCATCGTACTTCCTTAACGGACATTCTTCGATTATATGGCTCATTTACTGTATACCCTACCCGCAATCATAGTTTAGGTCATCTACCAATTTCCATTTATACATTAAATCCATACATCTTCCTTACCTAGTTCTTGTACGGTTAAGTCTAGTCCATATTTTCCTTGGATGGTTCATTCCGGCTATTAGATTACGTGCACTCTCAAGATGTGCTCTTTCCCCAGGTATTTTCCTTGTCCACTATTCTTGCCATGCTTCTGGTATGAATTTTCTGTTTTAATTTCGTTAGCTCTCATCACAAAAGGCTTCCGTGACTTTAGTCTTAGGATTTCTAGTCCGTCTTCGTGGATCGGAAGATCTAAATACTTTTTGATTTTTTCTTTCTCTCCGAGTACACAATTTTGTCTGCGTAAATGAAGTAGTTCTATGTTAGCTAGTACTGAGTGCCATTGATTATTGATGCACATAACAGTACCAGCGATTTTGAGCATTGCCTTTTTCATTTGTACGTCGATTAAACTACAATGTTGACTGCCTTCCCAAACGGGTGCACAATATTCTGCAACAGAATTAGTCAGTGCCAAAGTTGAGGTTCACAGTACATGTGTTGATGAACTTCATGATGTGCCGGCCAATCTATTATTAAATTAATTTATTGTCTAGATTTTTGCTATAACATTTTGTAAGTGTGCTTTGAATATGAGTGCTCGGTTTAGTGTTATCTCAACATATACTGGTAGCTTACTATTATGGATGGTTTCCCTACATAAATATACTATTAGTTCTCTAGTGGACTCTTTGTTATTGAGATGGAACGCTGTTACAATCTTTTTAGAAGGGTTTGGCCGGAATCTCGTTTTTTTTGGAAAATTTTCATCATATATCATTAAATAATATTGGTGCTATAACTGAGCTCTAAGGTAAACTGTTGTTGAGCACATGTTTTGCTTCTCTGTCCTCCTAAGAAAACTCGAAAGTTCCGATTACCAAGTATCCTCTCGATATATTGTAGCAAAACTAGGCATGATATAGTTTTAACTATTGTCCACAGTAGTCTATTTTTCCAAACTGTATCATATGCTGCAGAGAGGTCTATAAAGTCAACTTCCGATTTTAGTTTATCATTGAAACCTTTTTCTAAGTGTGATGTTAAAGATAGCACTTGGTTGCAGTAACTTCGGTTTGGTCGGAGGCCTGCTTGATACGATGGGATTGCTGGCTTGATGATTGGGGATATTCTTCTCAGGATTATTCTCTCCATTAATTTTGAGAGTACGCTCAACAGTGAGATAGGGCGGTAGTTAGTTGGGTTGTCGGCGGGTTTACCAGGTTTTAATAATGCGATCACATTAGCAGTTTTCCAACTTTTAAGGACTCTACCACATTTATAGATCGCGTAGATGACTTCCGCAATCCAAAGATGGATTTTAGAGCCTAAGTTACGTAGGATTTTTGGGTGAATTCCATCTTTTCCGGGCGCATTGCCTGTTTTAATTCTTTTATTGCGTTGTACACTTCCGTACTACTGAAAAATACTGAGGAGATATTTCGTGGCTGATGAATTTTGGATATTTAATTAATTTTCATGAATCTCTTACTGTTTCTTATTACGTTTAATGTTCATATGACGGAAATTTATATCGCTTGAAATTATTGTAAAATGCAACTCTTTTAATATTATTAATTTGATGGGTTGTTTATATATTAAAATATAAATCTATAGAAGTATAAGGTGGTAAAGTTAAATTGACAAACCTACTTAAAATGAAAAAAATCCCAGGACACTGGAGTTGCGGCTTAATTGGGACAAATATAGATGATATCTGACAATGATTAAAATCATTAGCATATCACTTTAATGCAAATCTGTATACAGTGTTTAACTCTTAAAAAGGATTATCCAAAAGCATTATCAACTCCAATTTCCTTAATTATATGCTGATTTCAATCTTTATGATTTACAATTTACTTATTAATAATTTAGTTTTTACGAAGAAATGATAAAAAATCATTATGAGGTTGTATATTTTGTTAACTATTTGACAAAATTGTACATATGAATTTATCAAAAAGAAAATAGAGTTCAATTATTTTGACCCTCGTTAGTTATTATAAATAACTAAATTATAAATTTCAGTTACGAGTTCAGTTAGTAATTTTGTTTTAGTGTATTAACGATATTAAAGTAATAAATAATTTAAGTTACTTAACTCCACATGACTGATTTTTACCGAAAAATTAAAAATTTTGAACACTATGATTTGGTTATAATCATAGAACAATTTATTATTTTTAAAATTTTTCTAGTTTTCAACAAAGGGTATTAATTATGGATAAATATTTTTTTAGGAATCACTAGTTTATTAAATTTATCTGTAGATCAATTGTGTAATAAGTATGGTTGTTGTAATCATTTTAAAACCTTCGATTATCTCAGTGAAAAAAAATTTATTTGTCTAAATTGGCTATACCTCAAAAATTATGATATAATCAAAGTTTTAACTCAAGTTAGCACTTAAAAAAAACCTAACGGAATCGATAAAAGTTTCTTTGTGTGCACAACAGTTATTTTCACCCTCAACTTCTTACTTTGTAACCAGCTACTAGAAATTTCATCAATATTTTTTAACTGAAATGCCTCCTTGTACCTTGTAATGCCATGTACTCCTATTTCTTTTCAAAAATCTTTTTCTTTTCAAGTATTGGTAAACAATTATGAACAAAAATAAATAGCCCTGATACATCTATTTAACAATTTTAAAGTATTGTTCAAAAAAATATTGAAAAATAAAAATGTTCTTGTAAGGAAATTAATAAGTAAATAAAAGTGTACAAGAAACCAAGTTCAAATCATTAAAAAAAAATTAAACTTTCAAATAAGAATTCTAAAATTTTAATTGAAATGCAAATGTTTCGTAGTAATAAGTTGAAAAAAATTTATTCTCGAGCTCAAAAAGCATTTACATTAAATTTATTTTATAAGTCTCCTACAACTTATAATATTTTAAGAGATAACCAGAATATAGTTTTACCTGGAATAACATCTATAATAAATTTATAATCAACATCTTCAAAGGAAAAACAACTCGGAATAAACCAAGGAAACAATATCCTGAACTCATGAACTATGCGTCTTTTGTTTCACTGAAGAATATATTTCGAACTTCCGCGTATGATTTGAACAACAACTAATAGAATTAAAATTGAGCAGGGTAAGTTCAATTACCTGATCCATAAGTGGGAGATGACCAAGTCTTTTTTTTTGACTGCGGAAAACTTCAAACGGTAAGATACATCGTACAATTCTGCCCTCAGAGGAAATAAGCTAGAGAGGTGCTTGGAATTTACCCAGGAGGTAGTGATGCGATTGAATGGTGGTTAACCAACTTGGATGGATGACTTTTAGTTATCATTTTTAATTACCAAAAACTTTTCTGTATTTACCTAATTTGTTTATTCACTGTTTATATACTTATTTTTTTACCTCTGTTTTTACATATCTATTTGATTATTTATATATTTATTGTTATGCCAATGCTATATGCTAATATAATATAATATAATATAATATAATCCAGCACATAAGAAATATCTTACTTCTCTAATTATTATTCTAATATTCAAGAAAAACTGACTAATTTTCTTACATTAACTTTAGAGACCTGCTCGAATGCTTATTTCAATGGATAACCCAGTTAAAAATTGTTAGATAAATTTTCATGTAATCCATGTGAATATAAATTTCTCTAAGAGGATTTTTAATTTATTATAAAATATTTTAAACACAAAATTAAATAATTATTGCCAAGTTGAAAAAACCAAAAGAATTTTAATAAATTTGTGATTGATACTCAACAGATAATTCATCATTTTTTAAAAGAAAAGTCGTATACAATACAACTAAGTTTTAAATTAAATAGTATAATCAAAAAAGAAGTATTTTCTACAGTAAATATTTCAGAAGAGTGCTTACCACACTTAGAATATTTAACTATGACTTTAATACATTGTAAACTTTTTAGAGTATTATCTATCTTAACTTATTTTATAATTTTTAGTGATCTGAACTTAGTTCAAAATTACTTTTTGTTAATATATTTTTTTATAAAATATTTATGATTTGTTTTTTTTTTTTTAATATTTCATTGTATTATTGAAAAAGTAAATTACTAATTTTTATACATGAAAACCTTATAAAATGCGTAATTAATAATCACATCTACACTTGATTACTGGTAAGTAAAGAAATTAAACACCAAATAATATAAAAATTTTAACAGTGGAAATTGGTACCGAGAAAATTGTTACGTAATAAGTTAAGATTTTCAACACTAAGAGAATAATAAAAAAACAAATAATAATCAAATATACATCAATATTAAAAAAAAAGAAAACTCATTGTTTTATCGAATTTATACATAAAACAAAATATTTCATTTAAATCAAATTTTTTTTAAAAAGTTATCCATTTAGAAAATTAACAAATTAAAAAATAGTGTTCACTATAACTTAGAAATGTATTGTTTTTTTAGCAACATACTTATTAAAAATGTTGAGAACAGTGATTTTTATAATTCAATTACCCACATATCTAGTATCTCATAAGTTACTTCTGAAATGTTGTAAGTAATTTTTTTATGAATTATAATAATTTGTTAAAAAGAATAGATATATTTTTGTTGAACTCAAATTAATTTATATATTTTTTTAACTTACTATTATTTTTTCAAATTAACTTTTAACTTAATTTATTTTAAAAAATTACGGATTACCTATTTTTCAAACAGAAAAGTGTATGTCATAATTTTATCTTCTAAAAATTTGTTTATTTTTATATAAACTTGTTGAAATTACGTTACATTGTCGTCTTTGTATTGTACCATATATCTCAGCAATTAAAAATTTTTTTTTTTTTTGAAAAATATATATTTACAATATAACACTCATTTTAGAAGTAATTAACCACATGATGGTAAAATAAGAGTTTTAGAGGTTCTTGAAATAAATAACCTATTACTAAGTATAAAATTAATTAAGTATTCAATTATAATAATATAAATATACATTTTAATATTAATATTAGTGTTAGGTCCGCTCGTAGTTTGTTATCAGTTATTGTTCAGTTAGCGTACGGCTTTCTAACGTGCAGTACCTCTATGTTAATAAATGTTGTTTTAACTAAAAACTTTTGAGTAAAAATTAATTACTAATAACCTAAATCCGAAAGAACCTATAAAGCGTAAATACAGTCCACAACAATTAGTTTAAAAATATTAAAAAAATTTATATTTTGAATTATTATTATTATAATTTATATTTATTTTATTATAGTTGAGTGTTAAACTAATTTTAGATATTATTATGGTCCACCAAGCTGATATTTAATTACTAAATAAACAAAAATATTGTAATATAAAACTAATGAATACAACAGCTAATATATATTTCAACTAAACATGTAAAAACTAAAAATTATTCCAAAATATATTTTAAAAAGTGTATTTTGGTAACACACCTTCAGCTGTTAAAAAAAAAATAAAAAATTTATATACATTAAAATAAATCTATTATTGATAAAAACAACAATATTATTAACATAATAATCCACCTAAAATTATTGAAATATAATACATTAAAACATACTATATGTGTGTTGATGACATATTCATTATTTTTAAAGGAACAGAAATACGAGCAGAAAATGTTATAAAACACTTAAATGGAACCAACAAATACATACTCTTCACTTTAGTGACAAAAAAATAATCAAATTAACATTATTGATCTTAATTTCAAAATTTACAGAATACCAACACAAACACTCAATAATTCCATTTAATTCAAATCACCCATACACCCAAAAGAATGCATTTCTCAACTCAATACTTTACAGATTAGAAAGAATTCCCATGAATACAGATAACTACAACATCTATTAATGAAATGTATCTAAGAATAAATAACAATATATAACAAAATAATTAAAATAAATATCCTTTTGATCATTGTAATATAAATTACAATAATTTTTTAACACAAAAATATGGCAGCAAAATTAATGGAACACCAACTCATACCATCACATACTAATTGCGATGATTAAGGCATATAAAAATTATAATGCAGCTGCAATAGATTTTACATAGGAAAACCAAATCGAATTTTAAAAAATCGATATAAAGAACATATAGTAGAAATAAAACAAAAGAAAACTTACCCAAATCAAATTTTGCTAGACATGTATTAGATAATAATCGTATTCATAATGATATCAGAGGATCTATTTTAGACAATAACAGCAATTACTTATATCAACGCAATCCTAGAAGAATTACACATACATAATGAAGTCAAAAATTTAATTTCAACAACTTATTAAACAAGAAAAACAGCACAACTTATCAATATATTCTAAACATTCTTATCAACCAGAATATAAATACAGCTTTAAATAATTTCCACTAGTCATTATTTTAGTCAAATGCATACAACATATTTATATAACAAATATTTTTAACATCAATTTTACCTTTTTGGATATATTTTGAGTAGTGTGATTTATTGAATGTTTTTATAATGGTTAATGTATACTTAGTGATTTTTTTATTAATTATTTTGTGTTAGTAATCTGATGATGGCTAAGGCCGAAACTATTATAATTACTTTTTATTTTTATAATACTCTTGACTTTAATTTTTTATATTTTTAAAATTTGATTAATATTAAAATTTTTATTTTTTATGATTATAAAACCCAACCAAACTATACAAAAACAGTATATATTTTTCTTCTATCTGAATAATTTCGAAAAATCAACATTCTCGATTACTCCACAGAGTTAACTATATTCAATAATAATAATTTTTTAAAAATTTTCCATCTAATTAAAAAAAAAATATCTATCATTATTATAATTTTATTTTAAAAAAAGGTATTTAACGAAAATTATGAAAACTCTACGTTAATTAGTCATTTAATGAACAAGAGAAATTAAATATAACGTTGAATCTAAATATTTTTGTTAAGCTAAATTGTTTACCTTTCTAATACGATTTATTGACTTGTTTATGTCTTGAGATAGTACATCCTAGTATTTTCCTAGACGAATTTATGTGAAAAAAAAATTACGGCTTCAAGATTATATCTATATTTAATATTTTTTAAATGTGGATGGAATAGAATCTAAAAAACGCCTGTGATTATTTAGTTGTAGTCTGTGTAGTGAAACAGGACTTAAAGAACATTTTACAGACATCTTATAAAACGTGAGTAGCTCTGTTTTATAAAAGACATTTTTGAAGTTCCCGCTTAATAAAATTTTATATTGACAGTTTAATTTCCTATAAGATCTAATTTATCTTGTTTACATGAATATTATTGTACAAATATTGAATTATGAACTGTTGAACTAATGCCTATAAATTTGACCTTTCTAAGGCGGTGGGATCACAGAATGCGAAGTGAAAGTGAGAATTAGGTTTGGTTCATTCCTTATTACATTAAATTTAAATGTATTTTGTTCTAAATAACAAAAAAACAATGTATTATGCATACTTAAGAAGGTGTAATGTCACGACACTAGGCGTATATCACGGTTTACATTTGCGGTCAATAAAAAGTTTAGTTTAGCTTTGAGTGTTAAAATTATTTTTATTTTTACTGCTCAATGTAATACTTTCTCAAAATATTTACAATATCTTCCTTGCGAAGCAGTAACGCCGATCCCTTTATACATGTATTACAGTAGCAGTAAATTTTTAAGATGGTAATATTTAAACAATATTTAAATATTGTTATCATTAGTAACGTAAAACTACTTAATTAAAATTTAATCGATTTATTTTAGATATCTTTGTTCTATATTTGTAAAAAAAAATTGAATTACGTTTGGTAAAATAAATGACATACACAACAAAAATAATAAATCAAATTTAAACCACTTTTATATGAAACTTTTCTGTATGTCAAACAGTTCGTCTACAACAATTAAATAAACAAAGTCGATTTGAACGGTCAAGATAAAAATATGTTGTTTTTTTAATTTTTATGCCTAAATATTATAGATACAGCTTTTTTGTTAATAATATTTTTTATGGCAAACATTTAGTTATATAATTTTTACTGTAAATAGCATAGTTTGTAAGTGACAAAAATCGAAAAAGCATAGTCAATTTTCAATCCTCTTACGGCATGTATTAACGCCACTCAATATAAACTAAATTTTATCTAATAGGAATATTTTAGGGTAGTGTGTATTTAATGAATTATTGTAAAATAATTAACTTATATGGCTAAGAAAAGCCTTAACAATGCATATAAAATTTGTTATCGGCACCGCTGTCGAAGTAACGATAGCCAACATATTCACCTCCTGTGTCTTCTTTAAGGTTGTGAAAATAATTTTTTTCCTAATGATTAATTGGTAGTGAACACTCAACTGGTTAAACTTATTCTTTCAAGTTTTTTTACTTCTTATTGACTATCACTCAATGACTATGATAGTCATACAACAATGTTAATATACGTCGGTCAATATTATTCTTGCAACTGTCACTATACCGTTATAAGTAATTTGTATAGAAATCACATATTTTTTCTGAGAAGACGTTTTTGGTTATTACTTTAATCAGAGAAAGTTCACAATATCTTATACGTTGTAACACCTTTAAATCATCATAACCGTTGTACATTACTTTAACTGACTGATAATTTAGGGTTGTAAATTCCAATATGATTTACTAAATTTTATGAGTTGCTCCATTGGATATTAAATTGGATCAAGTTATGGTTATATATTTACATCGTAAATTTCTAAAACATATGCAATATCTTGCAAATAATAAAGACGTGTATTAATGATATTTTACAAATCCGGAAGCGAAAGGAGAATATCAAATAGATTTGTGATACTATTTGTATTGTTATTATACATTTGTATGATAATTCACATAACTATAGAATCAATGTTACAACCAAAGGGAGTAAGGATTTGTAAATAAATAATAATAATAACTTTAAAATCAGGCAATGGTTGAACTTTAACAAACTTTAAAAATTTACTAAATATAATCATCATATTTATAAATTTATAAATCTTATAGTTGATATAACTATAGTCTATAGTTTTACCAATAATTCTATTGTCTGTAGTATAGAAATAGATCAACGTTTCAATATATATATATATATATATATATATGAGGTTGCTATAAATAAATTTAAAAAAAATTCAGTCGGCAAAAACAATTATTTTGCCACATCATAATAATATGATATATTAGAGCAATTCAGCCATATATCCTACGTTCTATTTTAGAATATGGGTCCATCATATGGAATCCTACAACATCATCTCATATACAACAGCTTGAAAGAGTACAAAGAAAATTTATTCGTTTTATAGGTTTTAAACGAAATTTAACATATAATATTGATGATACTTCAGTACAAAGTTTACAATTTAACCTAAAACCTGATTCTCTTTTAGCCCGTCGTAATATGTTAGACACATCTTTCTTATTTAAACTAATTAATGGTACCATCTCCTGCCCTCCTCTCCTAGATCGTGTATCATTTTACGTACCCCAATATAATACACGGTCATGCTTTACTTTCCATATTAAATTACACCGCACAAACTATGGTAAAAATAATCCACTTAATAGAATTTTAACATTAGGTAATACATCAAACTTTGATTTCTTTTTTGATAATCTATCAAATCTAAAACGTTATTATTTAAATTATTAATCTGTCCAAATAATATTAATTTTTATTCATACATTTTTGCATAATTGATCTTATGTACCTCCCCTAAATATTTATATCACAATTATTTTGTATATTACTTATTATGTAAACTATGTTAATATGTACTTGAGCCTACCAGGCGTTTATTCAAATAAATAAATAAAATTAATTAATTAATTATAATACAAGATGCGAAAATTTAANTCAGTGGCTATATCTCAGAATTATAACTGAAATTTAAAATATTTTTTTTAAAATTAGATTATTACAGTAAACACTACCCCTTGAAATATTCTTCACTTTAATAACATAAAATGTAATATATACATTTTTTATTACTTAGAAGAATCATTATGATGTTTATAATTTAATTTTAATAACTTTTTCAAAAAAAGTAATAATTATATTTTTACTTAAATTTAATAGCCTTTTTTTAAAATTAAAATAAAATTTGTTTGACTGTTTATCTATTGTACGAAAAAATGTATAAATAGTAAAAATACTAACCTGTAGTAACATTTTGATGTTTTCAGTAGATGTTCTGAACGACAACTAAACTTTGAATAAAATACAAACCACTCAATCAACTACAGTAGTAGAGACGTGCATGTAATGATGCTAAACCTTAACCGGCCCCTTCATACAATCTTTCCGGGGGCGAGAATTTCACTTTTTAAGGTCGCGACCTTAATGATCTCTACCATAGGTGACTGGTAAGTGAACTATGTAAAAAGTCGGCTCTCAAATGTGATTTATGTGAAAGACCGTTTACTTCCGGTTATTCTCTTATGAATCGATAAACTTTGACAAATCATGTACAAATATGAATAAAAATACGCAATAAATTTAAAAAAATTCAAGTTTGAATTTATATCATATTCATAATAAATAAATCACGTAATTTTGTGTAATAATATTACTGTGAATAATGTATGAACGATTGTAAGGGTTCAAAATATCGACGATTTAAACCTTAGCGAATTTAAATACAATTTCTTCATATTTTAAGGGTAGTGCATGTATTAGCCAAACTGTAAGGGGCCGGTTAGAAACCAAAACTCTTTTACATATTTACGAACCCAACCTTGACCAGCACCTTAATTTAAAATAGAATTTTGTTTAAGAAGTTGGAATCCATAATTTAATTTGACGTCAAGTACATAATGATTTTAATATGAATTACTAGGCTTTGCCTAGCTGGGGCTCTACCCAGCCCCAGTCCTTGCAAGCCTCAAGTGTCGTAGGTACGTTAGGGCTCTTCGGGCTGTCCTTACGGGTAGGCCACTGACTCCGCTAGGAGTAACCGTCTACGCCGGGCACGATATGTGTTATGTAAAAAAAGTAAAACTCGAAAAGTAGTTAACCAGAAAATTATTCCCATTTGTAAATTAAATAATAATTATTGAAATAACAATATGACAAAATAATACTTATGTGTATTTACAGTTATACTTCATAACAATCTACAAATTATTATATGATAAAAAAAAAATTACTAGTAAAAAATAAATACTAATTACTATTACAAACAAAAGATAGACAAAAGAAAACTTAATAATCATTAAAAACGATCTTTAAATGTTGTTAACTACATAAATTAACAACTTAAAAGGAAATTGAGAAGTGCAAAGAAAAATCATATTCTATTAAAAAATATACGTATTGACTTAAAAAAAAATCAAATGTTCACAAATAACTTTCCTAGAATAATGTCGTTGAGTTTTTTCATTTAAAAAAAATTTCGAAAATCGTACGTCATTAAATAATTTTTCCAGCGTTGGCTAATTTACAATGTTTTATTATACATAATAAGATTCTTTTAGTGGATCTATAGTGTTTATAGGATATATCTAGAGAGTTATTAAACGCGCTTAGTCTTGGATCGACGTGTTGCGATAGTAAAAGATAGTAAAAGATTTTGCAAAAGCTGTAAACTGTTAAGCCAATTACATAGAACCGGGGCGGATTAGCCCATCAGGGAAACTGATTTTCCAGTGGATCTATCGACCTATCTATAATTTAATAATACATAATTTTCTTCTAGCGTTCATTTTTCAAGAATAATTAAAATTTTATCATAAAGTTTAATGTTCATAAATGTTGAAAAAGAATCGAAAATATTCATTCTAATGATATTATAAATATATTAAGTACTAAACGTAGATTTTTTGGAAATATATTATTTTTTTTTTAATTGATAAAAGGACGCTATACAAAGAATAAAATATTTTGAACTATGTTTTCCATGGAACAACTTTATTTGATTTGTTTTGATGCCACAGTCCCAAAATTTTTACTATTTTTTAAAAGAGAAAATTATTATACGTGATCCAGTGTTTTTATTTTTTCGTTAACATAATTTCTAACATTTTGTATCACTATTAAACATTCCCATTTTTTATTTTTTAAATGATTAATAAATAGCTTCAGAGTTGCTTTATCGTAATGCGTGATAAGAAATTTTAAATTGTTTAGTACGTAATTATTAATCTCTACATACATTTAATTTTATAAAATTAAAATTGTGAGTTTTACAATTAATGTGTAACACAAATAATAGGCCTCGGAGTCATTAAACAGCGTTTTACAAATTTCAGATTAACTATAAATATATTTATGATACATATAATTCTCCTTATATAATATATTTATTATATGTATGTATTTGAATGCATGTATGCACTATATTGAATATAAAATTAAATTAAATTTTATATGAGCATTTCTACTGCGGTAAACTGGGTGTTTTAAGTCCAATTTGATCACGCGGATAAGTGTCTTTGGTAAGAGTCAAAATAATAACTGTAATGTAACATTCACCGGTGGAACACTGACCACCGAACAGTAGTGAGATCCCTTTTTATTAGGAATAATGTCATTAACAATTAAGATTATAATTAACATAAAATGTACAGTATTAATGATTACTTTTTAAATATTAGTATAACACACTTTCTAATAGTTACATAATAAAAATAAAAAGATATAAAATGGGTTTACGACACGTCATTATATATTTTTTTCAACTTTTCAATCTAAAATAAAATTGCTATATATTCTTAGAGAAAAAATGTATTTACAATTACTCCACTTGACCCTATTACCAAGTAGTGTATTTTTTTAGTTCGGAGATAAATATTTTTAATTTCCATTTTTTGCACATACGAGGTTTTTATGTCTAGTTTAATTTGAAGTTTGTCATAAATAATGATTCTTTAGAAATTGAATTAAACGAAATGGTAGAATAATAATATATGATAAATTGATTTATGATTTTTTTGATAAATGTGAAATGGCATTTATTTTATGATTCCTATATACATTCGTTTATGTGTATTATTTTTTAATAATTTATTTCACTAATTTTATACTGGAAAAATATGAATTGATACTTAGTAAACTATTATTTCTTACTACATTGTGTATTTTAACGTTACACTGAAAGTTATAATTTCTAACTATTGTGTTGTAATCAGTATACTCTAATATTTATAACTTTACTAAGTTTTTTTTGTAATTTATGATACATACGCGTTACTTATGGTACATAGTCACTAATAATTTACTTTTATAGGATTCACATGGAGTATTTACTTCCGGAGATTGTAGACCCTCAGTTCCAACCATTATAAGTCGCTCAAGTCGGAAATAAATGAGCTAAAAAATATATATAGAAATACACACACATAAAAAAATAATTTAAGATAAATTTGATTGTTTTTCCTTTTCCCCCGTCGCTATTATAATAACTATTTACAATGCAAAATAGCCTTTGCTAAAAATTAACAGATGGCTGTAAATTAAAGGTGATTGTGTTGTGAATAGCAGTACTATACAAAAAGGTACAAAAAATTTTCATTCTCCATTCTCAGACGAAAAGAAATAATTTACAACTGGCTAAAAATTAGAATATTCACCAACAATTTCAATTATACCCAATGTTAAACTTAACTAAGTACCAACTATATATAAGTTACTGGATATTATTATTGCATATTTTATATAATACAATAAACTATTTAAAGTGATCTAAAAATTAATTTCTTCATAGTTTGTGAATAAATTATTAACTACAAATGTGGTACTCGTAACACTTGAACATTTAATAAGCAATAGCATTTGAAAGAATATCATAATATAATCTTATGATATTTTATTATAATTACATATTCATTTTGTTTTTTATAACATGCGATTTATTGCCTTTGTCAATAAAAATAATATTTAATTTACATCATAACAGTCGGCAGTAGATTGACGAGCCACTTTATAATAATATAAGGCAGCCGTACAGGTGCGCGTATGCTTCATTTCTATCAGAAATGATAGAATGAAGGTGAATGAAGAGTCAGTTGTAAAATATCTAAAAGCGTATTCACTCGGTCNTTTCTATCAGAAATGATAGAATGAAGGTGAATGAAGAGTCAGTTGTAAAATATCTAAAAGCGTATTCACTCGGTCATATCGTTGTTTCATTTGCCCGTATTTGTCCTCTTAATATAAAAAGTGTTATATTTATTATTATTGTTATAATAATAAATATATTATAAGTAATTGTTATAAGTATTGTTATAATAAACGGCGAGCATAGCAATCAAAATTTGTTTTTAAGAATATTAGTCTTAGTAAATATTTCTGGATAAATATGGGTGTTCTTTGTTAATTTAAATCCTTACGTCTCAGATAAGTGATTTGTTAATGGAACTATTTTATTTTATTTTAGTGTAAATACAGAAATAACCTATTATTCTCAGTTAGTCATTTAATTGATAACAAAAAGTTTAAAATAATTCTTTACAAGTGTAGTATTAATTTTTTTAACTTAATTACATAAATGTATCTGTATAAATATAACTATTTAAAGTTTCTTCGTAAATAAGAATTTTCTATTACTTATTGTTTTAAATGTGTAAATCGTAGGTAAATTTGTTAAATGTATATTACTAACCAATGGCAGATTTTAAACATTTTTATGAGAAACAAATATACAGTAGAACTCCAATTATCCGAACTCCGATCATCCGAATCGCCGATTATCCGAATCACTTTCAGAAAAAATCAGAAAAAAATTTGTCCAAAGTCCGCGGCGTCAGTGTAGGCACAACACGTGGTAAGAGTTCCCACTCCAGTTCCGGCGCATTGCAGTCACCTGTCATTGTTTATTTTGATTAGTCAGTGAATGGGTCCCGGTCCCCATTAATTCGGATAATTGGAGTTCTACTGTACATATAATTTTCTAAATTTTTGGTATATAAGATATTTTTAAGTATTAATCAAATAGTTGAAATTGANATAATTTTCTAAATTTTTGGTATATAAGATATTTTTAAGTATTAATCAAATAGTTGAAATTGAAAATGTTTTCTTTGGATCTCTCCATCGGATAATTACAATAAAAATTACCTCAAAAAAATATTTATTACTTCAATAATTTACAGGAGTATGCAGAAAACAGGTCAATTGTTATAAACAATGAGAACAATAGAAATCCGTTTCCTTACTTATTGAACACCCTGTATATAAGTGGTGATCTGTTTATACCACTCAATTACTGGCAAATAAATATAATATTTAAAAAAATATTTGATGTTTGTCGTGACAAAATAAAATTCCACTTAGAGGAATATAGAATTTATCATTCGTCGGAAATTTGTTTTGATAAAATTCAGGATTTTTTCAAATATTATTTTTGGAGCTTCAAAAACAACTCTTATGAGCAGGCATAATAGATTTATTAACAAAACTAATTAAAAATTGTTTCTAATGTCGTTAAATAAGGTGTAAAAAACTCAATTGCGATACTGTCATAAAAAAAAAACGGTAGCACAGTGGGGTAGAGGCACAGTATAGACGTGGCATAGATGAGATAAGTATAGATGATATCTGACAGTGATTAAAATCACTATCATAAGAAACGCTTCGATGCAAATCTGTAGATAGTGTTTCCTTTAGAGAAATTGGTGAAATATTTTAAAAGCAACATGAACTCTTATTTCTTTAATTATATCCTGATTAGTAGTTCTTTGATTTTAAAATATAATATATGAATAAATACTAATTATAGTTTTTAAATTTAGTATGAAATTGTGAGGCCAGCTATGATGTATGGTTCATAGTGTTGGGCGGTTGATAAGAAAGTAGAGCAGAGAATAAGTGTAGCAGAGATGAGAATGCTTAGTTGGATGAGTGGAGTGACTAGAGAAGATAGGATAAGGAACGAGCATATAAGAGGAAGTATAGGTGTTGCGTCAATCGTGGATAAGATGACAGAAAATAGACTTAGATTGTTTAGTCATGGTATGAGGAAAGAAGAATCGAAAGCTGTAAGAACAGTTATAGAAATGAATGTTGAAGGAAGAAGAGATAGAGGAAGACCAAAAAAGAGATGGAGGGATGCTATTGAATGCGATTTGAGGACAGCTGATGTGAGCGTAGAAGATGTGGGAGATCGTGTCAAGTGGAATCTTAGGATAAGGGTGCCCGACCCCAAGTAGTTGGGATTAAGGCAAAGAAAAAGAAAAATATTACCAGATATTCCGGTGGCAATTGACATAATATGATTGTTATTTCGGAATGTACAATTTAGCGTTTAGTTGGGTTTAAATAATATAGCGTCAAATCAATTACCTACTCTATCGGTTGTATCTCAATATACACTACACTTTAATGATACAATAAATAAATAAACTCACACATACACACATATGCATTTATAACATTGTGTCTAATGTAAGTATAACATGATAAAAAGTAACCGTAAAATGAAAAAAATGGAATATAAATTTTATTACTCATATTAAATGTAATGTAACTCGAAAAATATTTGTTTAAATGAAAAAATATAAGATTATATTTTTATTTATAATTGTCTTTTAAACAACTTTTGTGCGAAACTTTTTTTTGTAAGTTAAATATTTTTTTTTGAGAAAATTAAGAAAGCTCATATTTTTGAACTTTTGCGAGGATTTAAAAAAAAAGCTCAATTCCAATCTTGAGGACTATTAGTATGTCATTATACATATTTTAATTCAACTTTTAAAAAAACAAAATTTTTTCCGCAATTTTTCCTTTGTTGACTGGCCTAGATGTCAATTTTAAACTTGTAATTGAGCTAAAAGTTATGGTAATATATTCAATTTATTTTACTATAAACTTTCATAAATCTTTATCAAAAATTTTTCATCAACTTTAAAGAACCAAAAAAATAGGTTAAAATTGAAAATTTGGACTGATTATTTTTAACATATTAAAAATCAAATCAGTAATAATTTGAAAACAAATTTTTTTTTCTTTTAATTATTATTTTATATATATAATTAGTAATAATATAAAAAATTAGAAGTGATAGAAATAGTCTACTTGCAGATTTGAAAACAACGCGAAAAGTTGATTTAGAAAAGTATATTTTTGCTTCTGATGAAAGTTCCTTGTAGTCCAGTGCATTTTTTTATAGTAACAAACAGTTTTTATTGAAAATTATTGTATCAAGCCCTTTAAATTTTTATACACGTAAAAGTAAAGCAAAATATAACTTCTTTATTATTTTTATAATTTCTCCGTTTAAATTACAATATTAAATATCAATTTCATACTAAATTTAATAATTATAATTAGTATATATTCAAATATTATATTTTAAAATCAAAGAACTACTAATCATGATATAATTAAAGAAATAAGAGTTGATGTTGCTTTTGGAATAATCCACCAATTGCCTAATTAAAACAAAAAAAAAAAAAGTTTGTTGGGAATTTTTTCTGCTATTCTGCAAAATTACTCCTTCGTTGACTAGAATGAATCATTAAATAGAAAATTTTATGAGAATTAAAACAATGTTATTTTTAAGATTAATATGCAGTCAGAAAGTTTTATAATTATTATTTATTGTAAATTTATCAGAAAAACTCATTATTTTTTGCATTTTTATCGTAATAGAACACTTAAATAGAAATCATAGTAATCATTTCTAAGTAATTTTTGATATTTAAAAAGATTCTACTATTGAAATATCCAGAACTGAATTAATTTTAATGATTTACTTTAACTAAAAAAAAAAAAGTTAATATTTTGAATCCCTCTTGTGGGCAGGTAAAGGGTTAGATTTATAAAAAAAACCAAATGATAGATAAAGACATGCATCTAAATAAAAAAAAATATACTGATTTGGTCATTTTTGATAAAGTTATAACAATTAACAAAGTTATAAGTTTTATACACTGGACTACAAGGAACTTCCATCAGAAACAAAAATATACTATTCTAAATCAACTTTTCGCGATGTTTTAAAATGTGCAATTAGACTTTTTCTATAACTTCTAAGTTTTAATATTATTAAAAAATAGTTTTTACATATAAAAAAAAATAATTAAGAACAAAAAAAATTGTTTTAAATTAATACTGATTTGATATAATATTTAATATTAATTTGATTATTAATAAGTTAAAAATAAGGAAAATGACATATTTAACCAATTTTGTTAATCGTTTAAAGTTGATTGTTGTAAATGTTTATAAAAAAAAAAAAAAATTTATTTTACCATAACTTTTAGCTCAATTGGTAAGTTTGACATTGACATAATTAAATAGAAAATTTTATGACAATTAAAAAAATTGTATCGTTAAGATCAATATGCAGTCAGAAAGTTTTATAATTACTATTTATTGTAAATTTATCAGAA